GCAAAGGTTAAGGAAATACAGTCCTTAACTTATACTTTCAACATCCAAAGTTAAGGACACTTAGTCCTTAACTTCAAGTTTTATGTGCAAAAGTTAAGGACAATCAGTCCTTAACTTTAAATTGTAAGTGCATAGGTTAAGGAAATACAGTCCTTAACATATACTTTCAACATCCAAAGTTAAGGACATTTTGTCCTTAACTTCAAGTTTCATGTGCAAAAGTTAAGGACAATCAGTCCTTAACTTTGAATTCCAACTACAAAATTTAATGTCGTTTCTTCCTTACATTTAATAAACACAGTTAACTGAAAATTCATAATCACAGTAAGCTTATGAATTTCTACAACTATTTTTATGAAATATACCTACATAATAAAATATATTGACTCAACCACAAACACATTTCAAATTTCACACACTAAAAATTTATTAAAAACAGAATCACACAAAATATACTATACTGAATCAACATATAATGCTAATTTTTGAAATTTCACACATACTTCACACGGCATTGAACCAACTTACAAATAAAGAAAAACGAAGATGACGAAGAAGATGAAGGACAGAAGATGACGGAGAAGATGAAGATGAAGATGACGGAAGATGACGGAGAAGATGAAGGAGCAGAAGTTTAACTGAGATTGCAATTTGAATACGAGGAAGATGAAGAAACACATAACTCTGAACGAATGAAATAAGGGTTCTCGTCGATTTTGGGATTATACAAGAAATAGAGAAAGGGTAATTGTGTCTTTTCCCCTTAGTAGTGGCTATTTTTGATAAGTATTTTAAATAGTGGATAAAAATTAAATACACCCTGTGGCTACTACACGCCATTTTCACTCAAATAAACGAGAATGGGCTGCAAATATGGACCCAATAATTTCATAGTTACCGGCGATCCACTGAACGCCCACTGTTCTCTCTCCGCTGCGAACTTGCTCTGCTTTTCTTCGCTTCCGGTCAACTGCTCTTCTTTTCCCTCTGTGTGAATTCGTTTGCAGTGCAGCGTCTGCCTCTGGTGCGTAAATAAAGCCTCAATTTTTCAATTTTGAAGCTCAATTTGTCTGCCTTATTATAATTGTCACATAATCTATTATTCTTTCTCTTTGATATTTCTTTTCTCAATTAATTTAAGTAGTCACAGACCAATATGGACATGCTAATTGCTTTAGTGAGGTATTATGGAGTAAATTAATTAGGCTGAATCTCTTTTAGACATGATAGAATCACTACATGGAATTTCCTTTTACTGGTTAAAAAAAAAATTGGTTGTTAGGAGCGTTTATGCCAGTGATATTATACAGAACCTTTAGTGTTGAGAATCCAAATTATTGAGTATTGGAATAAACGGGTCCAAGGTATTAAGGAGTCATATAGCCGACCACTGATGAGAGTTTGCTTGTTGTTTATATATATTTTATTTTCTGAATTGACTGTGTCTTCTGTTTGCTACTCAGTGAGTGTGGTCTCAATTTGAACAAACATCACTAAATCAGTGTCTCTAGAGGGTTCCATGGCAGGCAATGGCCTGCCAACTCTGGGTCGTGTGAAGCTCATTGATTTGATACCATTGGAAGGTCTTCCTTCCGATTCGTATAAATTATCAGTCTCAACTTTGTCACAGTCGTTGGCTCAATATTCAGCCGCTATTATCCAGCTATCCACAAGTGATGGAGCTCTTTTAAGGTGTAGTCTAGAGTCTGCCCGACTTTACTTCCAACACAAACCCTCGTATCCTGCCGCTGATGTTATTCATTCTGATGACTCTCGAGAATGGTGTAAGACTTCTGGCTACCGTGCAGATCCTCAACAATGGCAAGAAACTTATGATTTCAGGCCAGGGCTCACTCCTACAGAACCCAGCAGTGATATTGAATTTCCTCCTGCTGGTTTATCGGATGTATTCTCTCTGCTTGGAAGAGCAGCAAGAGATATATTGGATGCCATCAGCTTCTATTTAAATCTGCGCAGCTCTCCATTCACTGAAATACTTGACAGTGTTCCCCTCAGAAACCGAGAAATATCATCCTCTGTGTTATCCGTCTGTTGTCATGCCAGACCATCTTTTCAGGGTGCACAACACCATAGCCTGGCAACCCAAGAGGATGGTCAGTTAGCGATGTTCTCAGATCATGAACATCAGGTTGACAGAAGCCTTGTTACGGTTGTTAAGTCGGATAAGCCTGGTCTACATGTGAGAGATTTTCATGGTCACTGGGTTCTTGTGGATGGTGATCTTGGTCCCCAAGAGGCAATAGTTTATCCTGGCCTTGCTTTATATCAGGCAACTGCGGGCTATATCAGCCCTGCACTTCATCGCACAGATACCGGTAATCAACAGGGGAGCATATATGGGCGATGTTCTCTTGCTTTTAAACTTATGCCCAAGTCCATGACCAACCTCAATTGTTCAGAGATGCGGGCTGCTGGTCATGGGGTTGAAGCTCAATTCCAGCTTCCTGTACCAGTTGACGATTTTATGCAGAGATCAACTGATCAGTTGCTTAACAGGAGCAATTTCCCGACATTCAACTTTCCTACAGCCCAAGATGGTATGCCACCATTTTTTCCTGTTTTCATTATCAATATTGAAATGATAATCTAGACTTACTTCATTTTTTTTTTTTTTTTTTTTTTTCTTTCTTTAAATTTAGATATATTAGTAGACATGTTAAGGATAAGGTGAGCTAAAGTTGGTTTTCGTGGATGGTTTCTCCCTGATGTCTTCAGTTGGAGTGCCAGTTGACTGCTTGATTGGTAAAGAAGCTTATCCTAAGCATGAAACTTCCATGTTTTTCGAGAAGTGTCAGTCTAGTAATAGTTTCTAGTTGCTAGAGTTAGTTAGCGTGATTATGAGTCAATGCAGCTAATAAATCCGAGCAAAAGCATTTATTGTTACTTTTGAAGATTTATGTAGAACCAAATCACATTGCTGAAGGAAGCTGGTGTATAATAGTGTATCACGTATCATTGTGGTCAGTAAAATGAAAATTTTCGTGACAAGCTTAGCCATAAAAACTTTTGAAAACTTTGAAGTAAAAGAAGGACCTAGTTTAAATTATTACTGGTATTATCTTAAGTATCTGGAAATGACTCGTCAAAGACGGTCAAAGCAGATAAAGCCAGCTTCCATCGGTTAGATTATGAATTAAAAGGTGCCAGATTCTGTCTGTTTGTTTGTTTGTATCACTTGCCAGAAGAAGGGGAAAATGGAAAAAGAATCAGTGTGAAGGAGTTGTCTAGAAGCTGAATCTACATACATTTTAATGTAAGGGGGCTGAAGAAGGAAAGCTTTTTTATTGTTACAACATCTTGGTTTGTTGTAATTTTGATGGTTTTAATTTCTTCTCTTAGTTGTCCTTAAGCAGTGTATTATTGCTTGCTGCATTTAGTTAACATTAAATTGAGTTCTCTTTTCTGCTAGTATTCCTTAGTAAGAAGCTTTTAACAACAGGTCCTTGGATCGATGAAATGCTGATACAGGATCTATGAAGCCCATGATGAGGAGGAAAAAGAGTAACTCAAGATCTAAACCTCTACCACCTTCAAAGAGGTTGAGATTGGAGGCACAAAGAGTTCTCAAAGAGAGAGTTCAAGATATAGCTGATAAAAAGGGCATCAAGCTGAGGTTCTGCACCTTAAAGGACTGTGAAAGTCACATCCAGTCACTTGATAGCCCTTGTACTAATATAAGGATGGAGATTGGATGGCCAGCAGGAGTTCCATTTGTTCACCCACATGATCTCCCAAATAAGGCTAAGATTGGATTTCTTGAAACATATGAACCTGGTTGGTCGGCAACTCATGATATGGAGATAAGTCTAATCGATCCCGGACAGCCAAGTCAGCACACTGCTAACTGTACTGCCACTCCCCTATTTAGCTTTACTTTTTTGCATCAGTATCTTTATTTAAGCAGTAAATGTTTCTTGTTTCTTTAGTTGCTTATGCATGAGAGATTGCATGTAAGATCACATCCTTTCCATCTTCTGCAATAGCCATGGTACTAGTAATACAATTTGAAGATGTGTTAGGTACTTCATATATTTTTGCTTTCCACTTCACGTAGATTTTAGCGACAGTTCAAAACAAAAAGAAAAAAGAGAGGATAAAAGAACTTTTTCAATGAGCATAAAATGCCTTCTGAAACAATATTTAGTCAATTCCAAGATACTTCCCCCCCCCCCACAAATTTGGAGAACATGAGGTAAAATAGATATATACTCCACAATAGAGCAAAAGAAAGGAAGAGGGGGGTGTTGAGTAAGCTTGTAGTATAAGCATAAATGGCGTTTTGAAACTATGTTTAAGTTAATCTAAACATACATTCTATTGTACCTCATGTTCTCCCCCCAAAAAAGCAAAGAAACAAAAACAGAGTAAAATNCAGGAAAAGGAGATTAAAACGGGAATTACAATTGTCTAGTTGGAGAGTGGAATAAATTGAGTTTCTTCGAACACGAACCAATTCTTGGTGTAGGTTTTCAAAATTATTAGTTCTTTCTCGTTTTGTACATTCTACATCATTCTTTTTCTAGCCAGACCGTTTTTGTTTATCTACTAGTGCACTCTAGAAATTCACACCCTCCCCGTTCTTTTCTTTTTGACTCTTGTATCTACTGAAGTAAAAAATTGTTTTGCAGGAATTCACATTCTTATCAAATGCTGCCTGTGATGAGTACTTGGATTCTTTGGACCCGTATTTGGCTGCTTTAGTTATGGTTGTCTCGCGCAGATCTTGCTAATTTCTATGCAAATTTTCAATTAAGATGTGAAGTGACAATGAGCTGTGTCGTTGGTTATCCTTATCACTGTAAAAAAAAAAAAGGTAGCCTGGTGTATGAAGCATCCGGCATTCACGTAGGGTCCACGGAAGGGCCACACCCCAAGGGGTATGATGTAGGCGGTCTACCTTGATGCAAGAATCAGTGGGTGATTCCACAGCTTAAATTGGTGACCTATAGGTCATACGCTTCAATGCTCCCCTTCCTTATCACTGTCCCTGTAAATATTAGTTTGTAAAATTTTGATGGAATTTTAGTTAAATTCCCACTTCATCGATAATTTTGCCAGCTCTTGTACCCAGTAGTTTAGAGCATTCTATGTTGACCAAAGAGTTTGAATTTATGTAGTAATTGTATCTTAGCAGCCAGGTTTACGTTCGTTTTCAACTCCTATGTTGATGTTAGATTCAAACTCAGTGACCGAATGTACCAGCAAAGAACCAGACCATTATGTTCATGTTACGAGCAGCATTGCCTTTTTCTTTAATCGCCTTCCTTGCCAAGTCTCTATCCTCTTCCATGGCTTGTTGAATGCAACTTCACTCCCAGGCCCCAGTGATTTCTCTCCTATAAAATTATTGACAGGTTTCATCTACCGAAGCGAACTGTAAAATGGTGAACCTACTGGAGAGTTGGAACTGCATAGCACAGGCTCTCCTTTCCTCAAGTGCAATGCAAGTGTGTCTAAATGCTACTAATACACATGTTGAAAAATAAAGGAGGAAAGAGAGACGCCAGGTTCTGTTGTAGGATGAGACAATGAGCCCGAACTTTGACACCCAATTTAATTCAGAAAAAAAAATGCAAGTAAGCTCTTTCTTCACTAGATATTTCTAGAGCAAAGGCAAGTATAAAACTGTGTTCTACAAAAGCAATTACATTGTTCCTGATAAAAAATAGTTCAACGGGTGGACCAGCAGAATGACCCCCACAACATGTATTCGTGTCAGTTTTCACTTTTCAGGGGAACACTGCTACTCCCTCTTAATTTGCTAACAATTTCTATCGATCACCATGAGGCCAAAATCTTTGGACTTTAATAACCTTTAGATCCCCGCAATCTTTGGTTCTCAAATGGTAGTTCGATAGGCGCTGCATTGCCATAGAATTCTTCCAGGTTGTAGTACTCACGCTGCTGAGGAAGAAATATATGAACAACAACATCACCTGTAATTAAGAGAGACATGAAGTGACATATCAGCAACAATAATACTTTTCAAGGCATACTACATGGTTACTGCAAGTGTCAAATAGTAGCACTGTGATTACGTCATAAATATAAGCAGTTTTCATTGTCTGTTGTTGCTAGCATTTCTTTTTACAGCCTCCTCTCTGGAAAAAGGATCAAAATACTGTAAGGATAACACTAACGCCAAGCGGAAATGATAAAGCCTGATCTCTATATAGACTTCAAACACAATTTTAATTTAGTGAAAATACATTGAGCTAGCAGGGATATCAAAGGACACAATATATAGCATCGCCTTCTCAAAACAAAACACTCAAACTCCAGTTTTTAGAGTTTTGGAGATAATATGTTCTATGGTCCTGACTATAACAGGTTTGGCCCTCGGGATAGCTAGCCCAAATTGAAACCAGAAGTTCACCTTATACGCGAAACTGAGTTTTGATAAGCACTACCCCTATGCAGCATGACAAGATTCAAACTCCTCCTCTCTTATATGAGACAGAGATCTCCGTGTTTTGAACCTTTAAATACCTTTTCCCACTCCCCCCTTAGTAATACTGAATTGTTTGCAAGCTCATTTAACCTTGTGACAGTTCAAGCACTATATTTGAGTAAATTATGTCGGACAATTTGAAGCAATAGTCATAGTAAATAGTTGCAGGAGTGGGTTAGTCAACAAATGAGTTACTGCCTGCTAGTCCTAATGTGCAGAACAATATTGTCTCATAACTGTACTTGTTTAGGTATGAAATGAAAAATAGTGGTGGGTGAAGAATGAGACAACAGCTGAATCAAATTCAGTACTGAAATTCTTCAGCTGTGATACAGATTAATGGTAGGATCATTAAAGTGCCATAAAACTACTTACCAAAGTCTAGCAGCGTCCACGAGTTGGGTTTGAAATCTCCAGATGCAACTCTTCCATATTGTACCTCAGCCATATCTCTTATTCTGGTCCTTTATGACAAATTTGGATAAAATTCAGAAATGCAAAATGCCATCCTCTCTTTTTATTTACTCATTTGTGGTTATTTTATGCTGCTGGTTAATGTCAAATAAAAAACACTCAAGATATGATATCATACCCAATGGCATCAATCTGTGGGCGAGAGAATGCAGTAGCAATAATGAAAAACCGAGTCCAATATACTAGAGGCTTGACAAAGAGAACCTTTATATCTCCAGCCTTCACATCACTTGCAACTTTAGCCACAGCCACTGCAACTGCACAGAGGGAATAGCACTGTTATCAAAGTCGGTGTAAAGTTAATCATCACATACATTCACAGATTCTAAGTCCACTGGTGTTCTTTAGTCATTGATACATGTTCTTGTTAAGCAGGAGAGCAATAAGTCACTAATGAAGCGAAAAGAAAAGGAAAAAAACAGCAGGAAATGCCAGAGTGGATATGTTGTTGTTCCATACACGAATCTCCATAAAACAATAAAGGAATACAAAGCAAGACAGCTATAAGGATCCTAAAGAAATGTAGATCGCAAGAATACGGGGCCAAAAGCAGCAATATGTGTAACACCTAGCAGTAGAAAGAATAAGGATGTGCTGTAGTTTCTCGTGCAAAGATCACTTCAATGATCATTATGAATTTCAGTTAGGGCATGGCGAAGAGGGGGAAAGCTTGGTTTATCACACATCTAAAAATAAGATCCATCTCTTTTCCTTTCTTTATTCTCACCTTTCTCTCATTTTTTCTTCTCAAAGCACCATATTGTTACCAATTAAGAGTAGTAAAACTTGGTTTCTTTTTCTTTATGATTATGTCTTGTATAATTTTATGTTATGATGATGAGATTCAATAGTTTAGGCACCACCAATCTACATCGAAATTAAGCAACATTAGCAGTAAACTTCACTAAAATAAGTCAAACTTATACTAAGCAAAAAGCTGTGAACCAAATTGCAATTAAATATACTACCTTAAGGATTAGTCTATAATAAAACGTGGGATTATACTAGAGAGATCTAACGAAAATAATACTATCTGAAAAACCTTCTGGCAATATTACTTTTAGATAGAAGAGGCAACGGAAGTCCATGAACATTTTAATACATGAGCTCCTACACATAAAGATATGGAAGATGTTCGTGACAATTTTCAGTAAAATTTTGGAGGAACAACAAATGCGACACATATGTGATTGATCAGGCAAGTAAAATGAATGGTTTGTAAACTAGAGGGGGCTCTCAAGTCTATTATTCACTATAGGGAGCTACAATGTAAGTTCAGAAATCATAGGGGGAGATAGAGTTTTTGCCAAAGAAGATAATAAATTAATAAAAACACGAAAAGGAATATGAGTTATGAAATTAAAGTTTGTCAGCACATTCTTCAATATTCTCAAAACAAGACGCAGCAACAAGATAAAATCAATCGATGTTCCTCATATAAAGCTATAGCCTAAGAGATTCAGGCTGCTTCAGCAACATGAAAAGTAAAACTATTGAGGTTCAAGCTGCTTTGGCAACACGGAAAGTTATCATTTTTATCACTCCAACAATTCAAAGCAACATACAGGATAGGCTTTCAGCATCATCATCAACCTCCTCAGTTGCAGGTTTTTGGTCATTTCTTCTGTAGACCACTTTCCCATGTTTCTTTAGGAGATCATCAAACATGTCATCTGTATCTTCGCTTACATCCTGTACCAAATGTATTCATGTTAAGTGCAGCGTCAAGCGGAAACATTAGCAAACATTCATATTGAAACACAGAGTTACCAGAAGAAAACACTTGTAGCAAGCCTCAAGAACAGACTTATGAACTGAAAAGGGCAGCACAATGCACAAAACATCCCACATTGACATTGACACAAGGTCCTGGGGAAGGGTGTATGCATGCACCCTACCCTGACACAAGCGTTAATGGCTGATTCCACGGCTCGAACTCGTGACATATAGGTCACACGGGGACAACTTTACTGTTACTCCGAGGCTCTCCATCAAATCTATTGATGGAGATGCGGGGGGTCGAACCCCGTGCCTCTCGCATTCAAATCTATTGGTAGTTGTTCAGTTTCCATAACAACTTTTGTCTTCTTCCAAAAAGTTACAGATTAATTGTATCTTTTTACGCAGTAAACTCACTTTTATAAGGACTTTCTGTCATATAATACAACTATGCCCTAGGGCCAAATAAGGGCAAGGACTACAGATTTTCTAAAGTCAATATCACTGGAAGGGGCAGTGAAGTCTGATTTTAGGAACTAGACTACAATCTGAATTTCTCAAACAGTGAAATACGGTAAATCCTTTCCTGTTTCTTTTTGGAAAGGCAGGGTCCAAACTAAAGAACCTTGGAAGTTGCAAACTCAAGCTTATCCTTTGACTCAGCTGGCAAATCCAACAATTGAGAACAAGGATTAAAAAAATGGAGATTGCTAATTAACAGGTCCTGTGTAAATTCAGATATTTTTGTGTTAATTTACAATAATATGTACCAAAACCCCAAAAACGGATAATTGCTCTACAAAATGCAACAACCACGACTTCAGTAAAAACTACAACAACAATAACTAAGGGTCAGTACCCAATAAATTGGGTCGGCTATATGAATCCTTCATTTAAATTATCTCATGCCAACATATACAAATACAACAAAAAAAGAAGAAAAGCTCTGGTTGCGTTAGAAAAGTGCAAATAGTGGAGTAGCTTCACATAGAACAAGAAAGGGGAAATTTTGAAGCTTTAGGCTTAGGGAATACCGAGCCAATAGCCATCCTAGAAAATTCAGCAGAGCTACTTCTGCCCAAGTTGTAATCTTTAGAAGAAAATGCGACAGAATTCAGCGTTAAAGAATGAAGCTTTCTGGGGTTGGCAGCAAACTTAGCTTCCGTACGACCGCCGGAGACCAAAATTCCGGTGGAAGGAGTGCAGGGAAGAGGGTGAATGCAGGAGTGTAGTTCCATTATCAATATCTGAGGTTCGTTATTGCAACATTAATTAAAAGATGAGAAATGGGAAGAGTGTTGCTTGTACCAAATAATAATCTATCTATCTCATCCCATATCTCTTCTCTGTTTAATATCTTCGCCCCATTTTCGTCCTATTCTGGATAAGATTTTTGGACATAATATCTTTTTTTTTTTAGTTAAGGGAGGACTGTTTTATAGTTTATGTAATACACTTCACTTTTTATTATATTTCAAATATAATATACTAAAGTAGTTCTTTTTTTTTTGAAACTATGTAGCTTAGCATTCTAATTTTGTTCTTAAGGATATGACTGATCCAGAGTTACTTGTGGTAGCTA